TGACCTTCATGGCTGTAGTAACTAACCAAGACGCCGCTTTTTCCTTGATACCTGTGTTTTTAGATTTAAACACTTCAAAAGCCTGATTTTCTAATACTTCGTCTGCTTTATACCGATCAGTTAGCGAATTACTTTCCTCGTATGCAATATCGTGCGCTCTGGCCAACTCGTCAAGACTGTTTATACCACATTCTCCTCGTGCTAATCTTTGTTTTAATCTGGTTCCGGGACCGGCAAATCTATAAACAATTATTCATAAAATTTAAAACGGATTTATTAGTAATAATATATTGTAGTGACTTACCTATAACCAGGTAAATGTAATTTCACGGGTAAATGATTTATAACAAAGTTAATAAGTCCAGAGCCCTTTTTATTGTTTCGCTTACGAACGTGAGACATCGTATGACGCTATCGTAGACATAACATCTGTTTTTATAGTGAAAAATGCGCTTTATTGAGCAAGCGAAAAAACTACGAATTTATAATATTGATTCTCCCGAGACAATTCAACAGATGCATGGAGTGCTTTTTCCAAATACGATAAGCTCATTGGTACTTGGGAGCTCGGGGTGTGGTAAAACCAATCTGATATATTTTCTACTAGTTGATGAAAACCTTTACATATACTCCAAAAAGTTGGAACAACCTAAATATAAATTATTAAAACGTATTATCGATGGAATAGATGGTATTAACATTTTTACTTTTTTCGAGAATGATAAAGTAATTTCACCCGAGAAAGTTTTACCAAATTCAATTTTTATCATCGGTGAACAGCAACACGTAATAAGGGAATATTATTCTCGAGGTCGTCACAATAAAATAGATATATTTTATCTGGCCCAGAGTTACTCAAAAGTTCCTAAACAGTTGATACGTGATAATGCAAATGTAATAGTATTATTCAAATTTAAGACATGTATACAATGAACACTGTTCGGGTGATATGTCATATACACAATTTAAACATTTCTGTGTAACATGTTGGAACCGTGAGAGGTTTACATTTGTTGTTATTTGTAAAGATAGCGATCGTGATAACGGGCGTTATCGTTTTGGATTTGATACTTAAGTAGTTATATAAGATGAAACAAATAATAAATATTATCATTTAAAACGTAGTCATGACGGAAGCAACTACTGTGTTAGATGAGCTAGTTAAGGCTAAGGAAAGTATTAAACTTAAATATATCGCATTAAAAACCGGATCGGATAATGTTCAACAATTAATGACACAGACATTAAAACCAATTATCGATCCTTTAACTAAAATATCGAATAAACCTCGATTATCATTGAACAATGAAAATATAATCAATAAATCGAAAAACTCGATTTTGGACTACAATCAACAAGAAATTGAAAATTGGTTTCAGTCTACAGACTTAGATAAAATCTATGGTCCGAAAAAACTTCCAAACGGGCATATTACCTTGGGTAAGAAAGAAGTAAAATTCTTTGAAAACACTATACTTATTGACGGTACTGATTACCCATCATCATCGGGTCTTAATCAGTTATTATTCTTAAAAAATCCACTTATTTTTACTGATAGCGATTTAGAGGTATATAAATCTATATTGACTCAAACATCGGTACATGTATCTACAGTTGGAAATAAAATAAAAAATGGTGGCACTAAATATTCAACAATTATTAGTAAATTATTCCCCTCTGGGGGCGAGCTGTCAATGAAATTACAGAAAAATAACTTAATGTATTGGGACAATCCAAACGAGTTGGTTGATCGATTACGTCTACTTCTTGCGTCGAAGGCAGCTGGCAATACAGGCGTTTCAAACGAAATAATTTCGATTTTCGACGAATTACATGAGGCCGGACTAATAAAGCGAGTTCCAGATGTCTAAACGGGAAATAGCTAACGAACTTCACAAGCCAGCAAGGAAAAATTTCATTAGGCGTAGAGATAACGTCTATGGAAAAAATGATTACGGCAAGCTGACTTAGTTGAAATGATTCCATATTCGAAGATAAATGGTGGTTACAAGTACATCCTGGTTGTGATAGACTGTTATACGAAAGTTTCTTGGGCGAAACCGTTAAAGTGTAAATCGGGTAAAGAAGTTACTAGCGCGATGGCTACAATATTACTTGATCGTTCACCAAAACTTTTACAAGTTGATAACGGAAAAGAATTTTACAACACCACTTTCGACGCTTTGATGACCAAGTATGGCATACACAAATATTCAACTTTCAGTATTCTAAAGGCCAGCATAGCAGAGAGGTTCAATCGTACTTTGAAGGGGAAATGTATAAGGAGTTCACTGCCCGTGGCTCTCATGAATGGGTTTCAATTTTACCAAAGTTACTTGACGAATAAAATAATTCATACCATAGAACTATAGGAATGACACCAATACAAGCAGATTCCAACCCCGTTTCGGTGGTAATAAAACATCGTAAAATTAATAACGTAAAAATTAAATTCAAGGTTGGTGATAATGTTCGTATAAGTGCACAAAAGGGTGTGTTTACAAAAGGTTATTTACCAAACTGGTCTACAGAAATATTTGAGATTATCAAAATAAATAAAACATTACCCGTTACTTATCAATTACAAGATTATATGGGAACACCTATAGCTGGTTGTTTTTACTCTGAAGAAATATACAAGACCAATTTCCCAACGAATATTTAATTGAAACAATTATACGTAAAAAACAGAATCAAGTATACGTCAAGTGGTTAGGATTTGATAATACGCATAATAGTTGGATAAATACATGTGATGTAAAAAAATAGTGTCAGTCGTTTTATAACTATGAACGTGTTTGGTAGTTCTCAGGCGAGTGATACTAGAAGAATTATATCAGATATTCAGTCAAGTAACAAAACGATACTAAATGACGTGAAACTCCAACAGAAAAAAATTGAAACTTTGAAAAATAATATTGTTAATATTCATGTAAAAATACAATTGCTTGAAAATAATATTCAATCAAGTAATAAGTCTTTATTAAATTGTGAAAATCGTATGTCGAAGCTATTTAATGACTTTGCAGAAACTAGTATAGCGATCGCTATCCATGGATTTGACGTGGCCCAATTAAAAGCTGAAATAAATCGTATAACCGGAATATTTGATGAAATTTCATTACCGAATCATGGAACATATATTTCAAAATTAAATCCACGTTTGTTAGTTATGGAAGGGGGAAATATTATGAAAACTTGATTTTGTTCACATTAAAATAGTTGGGTAGATTCATGCGGTATTGGAAAACAATTTTAGTTGTTCTGTATAAGCCAACGCGTTTTATTATCATCTGTCAGTGTTAAAAATTAAATATACCTGTAATTATGTAGTTGGCTATCGCAGACATGCAGTGCGTTCTTGGAGCAAACAATAAATATTTTATTAAAGAATTGTCTATAGTTGACACAGAATTATTTGCGAGCCAGCACTGGATTTTTAAAAATTCAAAATCTCAGCAGGACAATAAATCTCGTAAAACTAATAAGTGGCTAGAAATTAACTATCATAAACTAACTGTAGAATATGGTGATACCGAGTATGAAGAACTAAGTAGAATATTGAACTCTTTAAAGTTCTCCTGCATTTACGTCAAAGTTGAACAGAAAAAACAGCTGCTTACAGAATTTATACATCAAGTCGCACTAATCAACATCGAAGACCTTGGATGTCCACGTTTGGACGAAATATGTGATGGAGAAACTCACCCATGCTGTATTTTTCATATGGAATTTAATCCAAAACAATGTACATTCTATAAAGTATTTGCTATTAGATAATGGTTTGTAAATAATTCTTAAAAATTGTTAATGTATACATTTTATTTAATAAATATAATAAATAATAATATTATATTTTAACATTGTTTTTTTTATTTATATCTTAACATATATACATACATTTATATATAATATGTTAACATTTACAAGGTTTTTTAGTTAAATATATACTAACATCGTCTTCCCTTGATCTGAAACAAAAAAACATTATTAAATTTATTATTAAGTCTAACCATAAAATAAAAAAAAAAGTAAATAAACATAACATTTACATGATATTTACAAAGTATTTACAGATATAAAACATTTTTCAAGTTATTTACAGGTTTAGTTATATAATAATTTAATAAACATACAGACAAAAATAATATCTAAAATATAAAAACCAATAATATACATAAACATAATATTTACAGAAAATGTTACATGATTTTTACATGATATTTTCAGATTTTAAAATTAAATATAATGTATATGTTACCGTAAATGCCCGATCACTTGGTAAACCTAGGTTTTACTAGAATGCTAGGTTTTACTGTTTGTACTCAGTAAATGATGAAATTCTAAATTGTATTTGGGCTTTTACTAAACCCGTTGTGTACATCCTAGGATATACAAATTGACTTAGTAAAAGCTGATGAATACACGACACATAACATTTAAGCTGCGTAAAAATTATAATTATATATTATTAAAACAAACTACTGACAGTTATTTAAATTCTTTATACAAAATAAAAGTCATTTAAAAACAGAATCATTAAAAATTAATAAAAAATTTTTTTTCTTCATAAAAATTATTAAAATTGGTGGGTAGTTAGAAATAATTATTTAAAATTTTTATTTATTTGCACATGTTGTAGTGTTGTACTATTATGGCACCTGCTATTACATAATACATTTGACTGGCGGCATTTGCATTTTTTAGTTGTACATTTTTTCTGGCAATCACACCTCAAAAATCCTTGCCCGCCTAATAGTGAAAGTTGAGCAACAGCTTGGCGTATGCTTGTTGTTCTATTTGGAACATCGGATATTGAAATAAATTTGTCTTCGCATAAAGTAAATTGATTTAATGTCCCAGCTTTAGATCTTAATCGATAAAATTCTTCGTCAATAATTTCAACAACTACCGCCAATAATGAGCGGGAATCAATTTTACATCGGTCGAAATCTGGAATTTTCACTCGCACTGTTTGACCAATTAATGCAGCAAAAAATTTAATTTTTATCTTTCTTCGATAAAATTGTTTTTTCATCGTTATCTATTTTTGTTTCTATATCTACCCCTTTATTTTTGTAGATCTCAATATCAATTTTTTTTCTTCGGTTATGATCAATGTCTATGTCCTCATTGATTTTTTCAGTATTATTCGTCTCCTTATTCTCATTAGAAATTGTAATTTTAGAGTCTTCAAGGACAGATATAAGGTCATCTTCATTAATGAGTTCTGTTATCACATTTTTCGGTATGCTCGAAGTAGCAAGTCCCATTTTCATTGTACACCCAAACATTGCCTCATAGGGTGATCGTTTTATACCTAATTCAAAAAAAAGTTATAATTTATAGTTATTGCCTATTTTATTATATTATACTTTATTTTAAAACTTATATTACAATTTTGTAGGATTATTTATATTATACATGGGTGTACCACGAAAATCTGTGTTTGTTCTGTTGTATATTTTTATGTTTTTTTTTTTTGGTTTTATAATAATTACTAAATACTACTTAACCTAAAACTGTATGATATGATTAAATTGATAAAAATACCTTTTAAATATACAACAGAGCAAAAGTTAATAATAATTATAATTTATAACTAACCTGAATGAAAAGCTGAATTTTTAAAAATATTAAACACAATTCAATATATTAAACACTACGCACAACACATATTAAACTGTTCTACAAATGGATCCGTCTATCAAGTAAAACCCAAACAGACTGAACATGTACCTAATAAAACCATATCTAAGCGATAAAGTATCCGTTAGTGCCACCAATCAATTGATATCAGTCAGCTATTACTAAGTTATATCATGATATTGATATAAGTTGTATAATATTTATCTTAAACAAGATAAAATGCAAGTCCCTGCAACACATTTAAGTCGTAAATTTATCTTCGAAAAATAATTGTTATTAATCGTTGCAAGCAAAAATGTTTGAGGTGTGATTACAACTTATGATGCATTTTTATTTTGTATAAAGAATTTAAATAACTGTCAGTAGTTTGTTTTAATAATATATAATTATAATTTTTACGCAGCTTAAATGTTATGTGTCGTGTATTGATCCGCTTTTACTAAGTCAATTTGTATATCCTAGGATGTACACAACGTATTTAGTAAAAGCCCGAATAAAATTTAGAATTTCAGCATTTACTGAGTACAAACAGTAAAACCTAACATTAACTTTTAAAACCTAGGTATACCTAGTGATCGGGCATTTACGGTAACATATACATGTTACTAATAATATAATCAAATATCTTCATAAAACTTAATATACTATTCCCTCCATCATTGCTACCATCTCTGCTTCCACCCTCTCAAGTTCCCGCTCAAGTTCTTTAGCTTCCCTATAAAAAAAAAAAATGAATGTAAGTAAAATTCAATAAAATATATCTTTATTCATTTATCTTACTCTATACGATAATGTCCATGAGCTAAGGTATGTATTTTGTCGTCTAGAATGACTATCTTATCGTCATGATTATTGTACGTCAATTTTTTTGTATTGAGTGCATTAGCTGGTGATTGAATGACCTAATTGAAATATTCTGTTTATAAACTACTAATCCGGGTTCACCAAACAGACACCTCCGATGGTCCTCGAACGTCATGTGGTTATCAACCACATGACGTTTTATACCCTTTGCCCTAATCTCCTCTTTAGGTTGAATGGCCCCTCTCCCCTCGATTTTATAAGCATATTATTTAGCACGGAGTGCGCAGAAAGCTGTCATTATTAGACCGTATGTCTCATCGGAAAAGTACCCTGGCACCTTATGACGTTCGGCGATATAACAGGGGTGATCCTGTGGAAGGTTTGCAGTATCCAACCGGTTAAGTAAGATTGGGTAGTTTAATAGGTCCTCGTAAAAATCATCGTATATATGGTACACCAGTGAATCTAAAATAAAAATAATATGTATGAATGTAGTTTTATAATATACATAGTTACAAATAAATATATATATATATTTTACCAGTGTCAGTATACATGAGGTTGATTTTGTCTCCGTAATGTTTCTGCATTACCTCATAGTGATAGTCATACATTAAACTTTTTGATACATCAAGGACCACCAAACCTTAATTTTATAAAAATTATTATATTTGTCATGGTCAAATTCAATATAAAAATATTTACCTATATATATATAGGTTTACAGAATTCAATGATCTTATTTTCTAACGAAACAGCTGAAAGATTTTCCTTGTACGAAGTACAATGTTTGAACGTTGATTTATTTATAAGTTTCTGTAACCGCCTGTCACTCACTACGATTTCCATTTTTAATCTATGTCTCATCGATTCAAGGGTTTTCCCTGTAAAATAATAAATTAAGTTTTTAAAAGTTCAAAACAAAAGATCAAAAGTTTAAAGTAAGATACCAAATACAGCTTAAAAAATTGACTCTCAAGATCATTTTTTGAGTTCTTCCTCAAATTTGTATTCAATAATATATATTCAGCTAACCACCCCGACTGATTGAATTGAATAACTCTATGCACCTATAGTAATAATAATAATATGAAATACATTAAAAATATAATATTATAAAAAATATAAATATTTTTACTTTTTCGACTATTAATCCGTTTTTAATAGCCTGCTGAAGGTTTCTGTAACGAACAATGTAGTTTTTTTTTTACTCTAGGGTTGCCATCAGTTTTGGAACCTTTGAGCCGAAGGGAGTGGCGTTTTGAGGGAGAATCGGAAAGTCGTGCACTTCTTTAGGATATGATATATCCACCTCATAAATACGCCCTATAGGTGAAGTGACGTCTAAATCATTTAATCCTGCAAGCGTAGGTTTAACCCATTTAAATCCGTCAGTGGGCATGTATTGACTCATCTCGTAACCATAGAGATTATTACCTATGAATATTTTATATTAATAAGGTAGGAAAATATTTTTTAAAAAATAATATTTATTCTTACAATCCTGATACACCAACCACGATTTTTCTTTCTTAGCATCATAATCGGGAACTTTCTCATGGTTTACCGTCACATACCGCTTGTTCGTCTGCACCAGTCCTCCACAAATACCTATAAAATAAAAATAATAATAAAAAATCTTTTAAACTTTTTAAACTTAAAAAATTTTTTTTCTTACCTTTTTCGAACATTAACAGCATCTCGTAATCTGATAAAAGCTGTAATCTAATTCTTGTCTTTTTCAGCATACAATGAAAAGACATTCCTGGAGCTGTATAATAAAATGCGGGATCGATGGCATAAGCTTTCATACATACATCTCGAAAGTTTTCAAATATGTCAGCAATCAAAAGCACGTCAATTTTTAAGTATAAATCAGAATATTATCCTATAAACCACCACAGCGTGATCATACTACTCGTCTTTAATCGCTTTTTCTATAAGACGTGTACTGTAACGGGCTGTGACTACGTATATATTAATAATAGTAATAATATATAAAATAATATATCTTCTTTCTTATACTATAAAACGTGAACCCGAGGGTGCAGCTTATGGAGTAAATCCGAACTAGCGTAAGCAACTCACCAATGAGAAAATTACATTTCTAACCGTGGGCGGTCTCCCGGCGGCGGCGGAGCCGTCGCTGCGTTATCACTCCTCTTATCACTTTTTGCCGTTTTTTTCAAAAATCAAAGAAATTTCGGACCTTATTCGCGTTCCTCGGTAAATTTATAGTCGGCGAGCGGCCCTACTTTTTTCCCGGCGGGCCCGCGGCGGCGGATGTCGCGTGCGATACGAGCGCCGCCTTCGCGCGCGTTTTTTGCATTTTTTTTCGAAAATTCGAGTTTTAGGCGTTTTAGGGACTATCGACCTCCCCGTTTGGATCTTATTCGCGTTCCCCGCTAAATTTAACGTCGAAACGTGGCCCTACTTTTTCAAAAACGAGTCCCCCGGCGGACGATTCGATCGCCGAGGGCGCCGCGTCGTCGCCGTTTCGACGGTTTTCTCGAATTTTTCGACTAGAGTCGCGTTTAGCACCTCTACGAGACGTCCGACCTCCCCGTCGTCGACGTATTCGAGTTCCACGCTAAATTTATAGCCGGCTCGCTTACCTACTTTTTCAAAAACGAGTCCCGGGGAGGAGCGACGTCGCTTAAACGAGAGTAGGTACCGATTGGGTATCGAGTAGGTACCGCTATATACAGGCATAAATACGTGCGTCTCGAGGTTCGATTTTTTACGCAAAGCTCGGGTATTATACGTCCGAGGGCGGCGGAGCCGGTCGTCCGCTCGCCGACGCTGTCGGATCGCCCGCTCAAACGCCCTTTGACGGCCGTCTAAATGGCGTTCGCCTTTCGCGAGCACGGCGAAGTGGCTTAAGAGTCATAGAATTGACTAGGATTTTCATCTGAGTAGGTGGCTAGGTTGGTTAGGCGTTAGGATAGGTGTCTCGAGGGTCGTGGGTTCGAAACCGCCGCCCGGGATTTTCGGTTATTTGCGGCGGCCGTACTAAATCGATTTTCTTATTTTTGCGTTTTTTTTTTTTCGTCACATTTATCATTTTTTTTTTAAATTTGCATTATTTTATTATATATATTATTATTATTCGTTTGACGATATTTATTGGGCAAAAAAATAATTAAAATTAATATTTAATTAATACTTGATTTTACCGACGCACCTACATGTTTCTTTTATTAACACATTATAATAACGTATAACTAACCTACGTGTAGTACCTACTTGATATATTACAGTTTTTACGTGATTCCGATTTGGTTAAATACTGCTACAGATTATAAATACTATATTAAAAAATAGTACGACTGTAATATGACTGCTTCATTTGCTGTTTTTTCGAAAATTCAAGTCCCGGGGTGGAGTAGTGTGTCGGAAACGAGAGTATGTATAGTGTATTCATTTATAGATACCTACCCCAGATAGCAAGATAACATTTTTTGATTGTTTATAAGTTATTACTTTTTTAATAATGACATTATTTAATCATTTGGATTTCATCATATTTTGATTAAATAATATGATATTAATGATTATATATTGTTGTTTGGCCACCGGTTTGAAATTAAATAAACATCAAAAACATAACATCAATATATTGTTATTTTGAAAATTATAATAAAACCATACAATTGTATTATTTTAAAAATATTGTTCCCCTAACATACTATTGATAATATATATCAAACAATTATCAAATATAAATTTGCCATATTTTTTACGGTTAATAATATGTTTTATATGATGTAAATATAATAAAAAACATTAAATATGTGATTATTTAATGTCAAATGGCGGGGTGGGAGAGTTACTCATTATGTATTCTATGATAATAAGACTAGGTATGGGTAACTGAAATAATAAATGACTTTAGCACCTCTAATTTTTTTTTTCATTGAAATTGCGCCCCTGTACATTATTTATTTATTTAATTAATTAATTATTATATTGTATTTAAATGAATTCCAACAATTATTATGTTATGATGTACTTGATATAGGAAGGAAATAATGAAAACTTAAAAACGAAAAGAATATTGTAAATCCATTTTTTTCATTTCCATGTTAATAACAGTATATATTATTATTTTTAATTAATAATTGTATTAATATAAGAATTTAAACAGATATAAATATTTATACTGCAGGTACGTCTCGACCATAAAACATAGTATTTAAACAAAAATTATATTAAGATGATAGTTCATTAGAAATAGGTAGATTTTTCTTTGGTTCCCGGAATTTAGCTCCAGAAATAAATGTTCTTATGGGTGTCTCAATATCCACAGCATCGCTTAATTTGAATTTTTTCATTTGTTTTATTGCATCTGAAAATCATGAAATGTTTAAATATATTAATTAATATTTATCATATAATTATATTGTTTTTTTTTCATTATATATTTATTTGCTACAAAGCAAGTTGTATAACATGTTATCACCAAGTAAAAAAATAACAAAAGTATTACACATGGCAATACTATATAATACTGGTATAGAAACATTTTTTGATTATTACTTAATTATTTGGCCTGATAGTGGCACAGTGGATTTATTCTGAGTAAGTCATAAGGTACCTAACATATTTTATAGGGGAACATAAAACATTTGGTTATATTTTTAATTGTATTATACATTGACTTTTTATTGAGTTTTAAACTTAAAAACAAATTTAATAATACCAACTATTTTAAGAACCACTACTGCTATAATATATTTTGGTTTTTCTTTCACTTCAAGAATTTTTTTTTATACATGTTAATAAAAACAGTCATAATAGCTAGTACCCTACTATTGTACTTTAATTATTTATTATTGCTAAAAAATGAAATCAGTGTAATACCTATGTAATGGTAATTATAGCTAATAATTGTATTATAAGTTTTTATTATATATTTATAAAAGTTTAATCAAGCTTAAGGAATAATTAGAAATATTATATTTAACTAAACAAATTCTCACCAAAAATTACTGTACATATAGCCAAGGTATAGAATACTTTCTTTTTTTTCAAACCCTTGTAGCTAAACTTTTCAAGCAATGCATCTGTAAAAATTTTTCTTAATATAATACGCACAGTACTGGGCAATGTGCTACGTGAAAAACGTTTGAGCTCTGCAATCTGTACACAATTAATAATTTATACTATTAATATAAGCGTATAGTATATTCAGAATTTTATTTTTACCAGTTTCATTCTAAATTCTTTATTGGCTGTAAGTTTTTTTTCAAATTCCTCCAGCTCATCTTCTGTTTCCAATGGAAGATTTGATAGTTCCATTTGGAATATATCTTCAGTATTTTTTTCTGTAGATGAATGATCAAAGCGACTTGGTTCCAATAATAAAGTATCATACATTTTATCAACCTTCTCATTTAATGAATTAATATCATATTTTATATTACAGATCGTTCTATTCATTTTTTGAAGAAATTCTATATAGGGATTAAAAATAAATTATACATTAATATATTTATAAAATTAACATTATGTTGTAATTTAATTTATATATTACTCACCAAGTATTCCATTTGGTGCTGATATTTGTGGTTCATTGGAAAAGGATGCTGACTGTTGTGTATCTACATAAAATGCATCAGAAACCTTAAATGGTGATGATGATGTGTTGACTACACCAATGAAAGATTCATCAATAACATGTGTAATCCCCTCTAGAATCTCATCTAGCAACAATATAAATTAAATTAAAAATATGTGCATTTTATGGAATTAATTATTGCACTTGAGATATTTTATTCAAATATTAGTCAATTTTTTTTGTTCGTGTCAAGCAACTTTTGTATATAAATATGATAGACGTACAATTAAGACTAAAATTAACAAAGTGAGTAGATAACATAAGATAAATCAAACAAAACATGTATACAATAGATTATAAATCAATTTATTAAGACAATTCTTAAAGTATGTATTACCAGTGATTTTTGTTGTCTTATCAGGTGTAGAAATTGGACTTGGAGAATGACTTGTTTTATTGAAATTTAATTTTTTTTTTACGGCAATAACAGTGCTTTGAGAACTATTAGATATTTGTGAAGGTAATCTTGTCGGGATTAGCTGTATAGCTGGAGAACTTGGCGTACCTATATTAAAAACAATGCTTAAAACTATACATTTTTTAAAATACTATTATAAATTAGGTATCCCCTTACAATTAAGTTCATATTTTCATAACTTCTCAAATACAATTTTTTTTTAAATATTTAATATACATCATACATTAGGTAATACCATTTAATATTTATTATTTTAGTATGCAGTGAGTTTTCATCTTTTATTTAAAATAGAAATAACATAAAAATGAACTGTCATTTTTTATTATTAGTATTTATAATTCAATGTTCTAATTATTATAGTCAGTGATTAATTATATTTTAGTTACTAAATACACATATCGCTTACTTTATCAATTACAACTTACCAGATAATACTAGAATACTTTCATCCATAGGACTTAAATTTGATTCTCTGTTGGTATTATAATTGTCATCAACTAAAAATATGTTTTTATACTTTTATAATAAAAATTGGAAAAAAAAGAAATTTCTTAAATTTAGCAATAATATAAATTTATCAACCAATACTTTCACTTGAAGATGGATTCCATAAAACAGTATTTTCTTTTTGTTGACATTTATCTTTTTTTTTAGTTTTTAATGTAGGTTTCATATTATTGTATTTTTGCTTGGTTGGTGTTGTTGATAAGTCGGATGTATACTCTGCCTTTTTAGCTTTTTCCCTTGCTAAAGTATAACTATCTAAATAAAAATAAATATGTTATATGTGAATAACATACAATAATCATACAATGAATCATTTCAATAATGTTCAGCTATATAGGTATTAAGTTATATAATATACAGTACATACCTCTATCTTTTCCCATTTTACGAGCCTTTAAAAAATCGAACTCAATTTCATTTGGTTTGATCCTTTTCTGAATGAATTTTTTTGAATTTTTTTTCGGCCAAGCGCATGTATTTTTGTTTAGCCAATAGGCCGGTACCACTTCAACGGAATTATCATCAAAGAACTCTACTACAGACCACATTTCAAATACCAAATGTATTCACAAATATGATTGAAACTGAATACAAAACCTATAATTTAATACAATAACTAGTAATTATATATTATAAGCACTTACTAACAAAAAAAAAAAGTTTTGTATTTAAGATGAAAATTATAAATTAAGTATTTACTATTTAGACTTCTTATTCTTTATTATAACCAGACAACAAATGTTAATAAACATATATTATGTAAATATAGGTATTAATTAATTATGTAGATACCTACATACATTGATATAATTATGATAAATGGGCTTGATTTTAAATATATTATTCATAATAATTGACATAATTAGCACTTATATATAGAATATAATTTAATACAATATAAGGATGAGCATAAACATTCTTATAAGGTTCCTAAATATTAATAGTTGAATCTTGAATGAATAATAGGTATTACAATCAAATCATTATTATTAGATGGTAACATAATCATTTTTTTTTTAATATCTTTAATATTAAACTCATGAAAATTATTACTTAAATTTTTAACAACATAAATATCTAGTTCACTAGATTTTGTAGGTTTGATAAATAACTCATTTTTTTTGTCAAATATTTTACAAATAAGGATTACGTCTTCTGAATTTTCTTTCTTAATTATGTTGACAATTTTTACTACTTTTTTTTCTTGAGTTAAAAAGTATGAATCTCTTTCCAGATGTGTTTTAATTGTCATGCTTTTTAATACCAAAGTGGTAAACTGTTTTCCTTTTATTGAACTTGACAATGTAGGACCATGGGTATGGAGTCCAGAAAAATAAGGTGCATCATTTTTAGTTTTAGTGTTAGACTTAAGTGAACAAATTTCACTGTATCTTTTGACAACTTGCTCCAAAGGTTTATGTGGTTTCCTTAACATTCTCTTTAAGCACCCCATGTAGTTTTCAAAAGGGAAGGCTGAACAATTATCTAGTGGCCCAAATTTGTCATAATCATCACATAAGTGTGTTAAACCATGAATGTTATGAGAAATGAGGTAACGGCCATAAATAATCTCAAAATCTTTAACAAAACTGTCTAGTAATTGACGTGCAACATTAATGTATTTCAAATGATCAGGACTTAATAAAATAATCATAGATATACTTAAATTAAAAAAATTATTCCAGTGTTGATCTTTCAATGATGGTTTAGTAACTATTATGCCATAATATAGTAAAAACATACGAAATTCCGTTGCTTTCCATCTATTTACTTCATCTAAGTTCCTAGGTTTTCTTGCAAACTCACAAGGCATTTTGTTTTTAATAGTTTGAATATAACTGGAGATTTCTTTGATTTTCCATGATGGATAGCGAACTTCATTGGGTCCTTTCATCCATAATAATATTAGTTTGCGAACAGTTCCCAGACAAACCAAATGCATATAATCTAGACAGAACCCAGTCGTTATATCAAAATTGGGCAAAGTTTAAAATAGAGATATTTCCAATATGATACTCCCCTTGTGTTTTCAAAACATAATTATTATGTGTTCGCTTGGGTGGACAGTTATCAGGTGAGGTATATGGAAAACAAATTCTGTTTGACAAATATTGGCCTTCCTGCTCACACCTGGAGCAAGAAAAAAAACCTGAATGTCCCTTAGTTTTTAAAATAAATGATTTCGCAGGCGCGTCACAACAAAAAACATCTATCGAAAGTCTATATATTTTATTATTTACATAAACACCACTGTCAATTAATTCTTTTGCTTCATCAACAAATTCTTTTAGGAATTCATTACTATCAATGGGTTTTACTTTCCCACAATAAATCCCAACTGGAAATACTTCATTGTTATTTGGTCGGATATATGCAAGGACAGGCCAAAATTGTTCAGGGCTACTTTTAAAAATTGGCAAACCATCGATTCCAACAACAATTTGAATTATTTCATTTTCATTAATACAATCAGGGATATTTTGTTTAATTCCATTCAGAATACCGAAATGATAATATTTCCCAGGCTCCACGGCAGAACAATTTGAAGTGGTTAATTTTTTTGTATTTAAAATAGTTCGTGAATCAATAGGTAATGCTTCAAAACATTTATGCTGTTTTAATAGTTTTAATAATGCATTAAGTGCATTTTGAGAAATATTAAATGAAACTGCCCACTGAGCAATTAAAGTACTAAATAATGATAACTGATCAACATCATCATTAAAATAAGTTATATCTTCATTATCTTCAATTTCTTCATCGGAAGATGAAGTTGACGATGAAGAGTGTCTCAATTCTTCATAATATTCTTTATCATTTGTGATATCAGTATTTGTTAAGACAGAATCAATGGCTCTTAAGGAAGTTAACGCGCCAGTACCAGCGACAAGTATATTTTTTGATTTCGGTAAACTAGGTTCAATAACTAAATGGGATGTTGAATTTTTTTTGAAGTTGGCTAATTCTATAGGAAATTCTACTTCCTCTTGTACCCTTCTTCTTTTTGACCGATCACTTAGGCAATACTTTTTTTTGTAAGACATTCTAACCTAACCAAATTATAAAAACATTGATATAAGTAATATTATTATTGTATGAGCCACATAAACATGAATGATATAATTATAATACACTTTTCAATCATCAATGTAATTCAAATAAAGGTTTATAAAATAAAATAATAAATAATATTATTAACATTCATGTATAGACGGTAACTTATAAGTAGATTAATTTATATTAATTTAATTGAAAATTATCTTATTTTTAAATATTACATTTACCTATATAATATTATACTATATATTTTAATACATTTTTAAATCAAATATAAATATATTTAAAAAGTCACACCAATTAAAGTCACATACCTTTGTACAGAATGATCCATTTAACGCATGCGATAACATGAGATAATAATAATAGTTTTAACAAAAACATGTTCTCTTGTAACACTTTGAATTATTTTAAATTAACATTTACAAAAACATTAATCGTTTTTTTAAATAATGTGTGTCTTATGATAAATGGATAACCCAGTATATAATATAGGCATTTCAAATATTTAAAAATCAAATTAAATTATTATAAGTAGATATAGGTAGCTCAATATAATATAACCTATAATATAATTGATTTAATGTACTATGTATGTAACTTTATATCATGTACCTAGTCTTTTTTTATTTTATTAACACCAAAATTATACATATTCTTATTAACATGGCATGTTATAACATTGTTATATTACATACAACATACTGCTATAATTTTATTTATCTAAAATTGTATAAAAATGTATCTTTAGTATGTATTCACTATTTAGGTGATCCGGTCAAAATATATGAGCTACCTATATTTAATTATAACATATTATATGTAGGCAATTTGAATGGAATGAATAAATAAATAAATGAATAGATTGTACATTTGTACCTATATTTTTCTATTATTTTATTCTATTATATTACCTACATGATAGTATATGTAGGTAGGTTAATGTATAGAGTTTACTTTATTACAATAATAATAATTATAATCACATGTACCTACTACTTAAAATAAAATAGGAAATATACATATTTACTTACTGATGGTTAATGACAATGTTAAATGCTATTCAATTATGGTATTTAGCGAGGTATTTAGGTTATTAGTTTAATAAAAACTTAATATTTATATTATGTAGCTATATATTAATCGAGGTGGATAACATTTAAAACATTAGGTACTAATACTTACTGTTATTATATAATTACAATAAATAATTTAAATATAATAATAATAATAATATGTACCTATCATACAATTAAAAATTGTGGATAATCACATAAAATTACTTACCGAAGATGCAGTTGAGTATATTAGCTGGCAATTTCATAAATTGTACACTCACGACTCACAGCAAAACGTACAACACTACTATATGACACTATATTATATAGTACACTACAACAGTACAACACTACAACGTTCAAATATGAAATAATGGCAGTATGGGAGTATGGCACTATATAGCCACTATCGGTCTAAAACAGGGTATATAGCAATGATAAGACTGTTGACTGTTGAGACGACACGGTTGAGGACTATTACCCGCCGAACGGACTTTGCGGTAAAAATCACAAATTAATATGCTAAAAGTCATCCAGCATAACTTAAACAGAGACCGCACTGCCAGCCACCAACTCAGAGCTGCTTGCAGAAACCTCAGAGTCGATTTCGTTCTGGTCCAAGAACCATTGGTCACGAACGGCAAAATATATGCCTTCGAACGCTGTAAATGCCACATCAGCAAGAAATCAGGTGCCGCCGTTATTGCTCTATCGGACCGTTTTCAGTGTATTGGTCTCAATCAGTTCACCTCTGACTATACAGCAGCGGCTAAGGTTACGTATGGTAACAGGCCTTATGACTACGTGGTTCTAGTGTCGTCATACTTCAAATACAATATACCAACAAACACCCATCTGGAGCGCCTAGAACAAATATTGACAATCGACACCCGAGCCTTAATTGCTGCGGACACAAATGGTCATTCGCCCCGTTGGCATTCGACCTCACGTAATCGCCGGGGCAGACTAACCGAACAGTTGATCGATAAACACAACCTCTGTATCCACAACTCTGCGGGTCAGATGAATACGTTCTGTCGGCGCGATGGCCGCACATCAAACATAGATGTTACCTTATCAACCGAAAATATGAAAAACAAAATAAAGGACTGGTCCGTCAGTGACCTCACTGATAGCGATCACAGGGTGATTGCCTTTACAGTAAAAACGACCAATTATAAAAAGCCTGCGTCCCACGAAAAACGCTATATCCTTAAGACGGCTGATTGGGATAAATTTAAGACCGCTCTCCTTGGCGAAATAGGTGGAATTTCGGAATCCTCGATTGAATCCACGGCCATGGGTATTAACAGAACACTGTCCGTAGCTGCGGACCAGGCCATTCAACGGAGGAAATCTGATGATACCCCCAGTAAAAGTATCTGGTGGTCCCCAGTCCTCTCAGCGCTTCGGCAAACACTTGTACGGAAAAGACGCTTAGGGCTTAGGGATAGCAACAGACAAGCATATAACAAACTCCGAAACGAATTCCTCAGGGAAATAAGGAATCATAAAATCCGCGCCTGGAAATGTTTCGCGGACGACTTAAACTCCAACCCATGGGCCAAAGCCTTCAGATGGGCGAAAGGCGGAAACTCGATAAGCTCCATGCCCAATGCTATGACAAGGCCGGATGGCTCACTCACCTCCGACTGCAGGGAAACTGCTGAGCTCCTTCTGAACACGTTTGTTCCCGCTGACCCAGACCAATGTGTCTTGGAGTCCAATGGTCCTTTACAACTCAAAACCGCTCCAAGTCCGGACGTGGTAAAAGCCGCTATATGGCGCATGCGGACGAACGGAGCCCCCGGTGCTGACGGCATTACGGCAGGAATGCTCAGGAAAGCCTGGCCAGCGCTCGGTGACATCATCACCAACCTTTTTGGTAGATGTCTCCAAGACGGGATATTCCCTGAGTGTTGGAAAATTGCAAAACTCATAATAATTCCCAAACCGGGCAAGACCGATCGGGACTGCGTGAAATCTTTCCGGCCAATCAGCCTGCTACCCGTTCTAGGTAAGGCCTTAGAAACTCTCATTATACACGACATTGTAAAGGAAACTAGTCTGGATTCCTACACTGACCAACATGGTTTCACGACGGGGAAATCGACTGTTAGCGCCATCAGGAGCGTCTACGGAAAAATCGACGCGTCAAAATCAAGACACATATTTGGAACTTTCCTTGATATCACGGGCGCATTTGATAATGTGAAGTGGTCCCCGCTGATATCACAAATGAACAAACTGGGTGCGTCTCTCGGTACAACCAGAATGGTGAACTCGTACTTGCGAAACAGATGGGCCGACCTAAGCTTTGAAGGGATTCATTACCGTCGAAGGCTCGCCCGTGGGTGCCCCCAGGGGTCACAATTAGGTCCAACCTTATGGAAGGTGGCTATGACCCCAATATTTGAAAAAATCCCAGAAACGGTTACAACCAAAGTAGTTGCATACGCAGACGATATCCTGCTAATGATCGGAGCCGCTAGACCGAAAACCGCGTTCAATCGCATTGTGATGAATTTAGATATCCTCACAGATTGGGGCCGCATGTTTGGCCTAGAATTCTCGGCTAGCAAGAGCCAACTATTATCTCTCAAAGGTGGTCTTAAAGCCGGATACAGCGTCAACTTTGGCTCGAGAGATGATGCTCCCGTGATTGAGTCAACGGCCACTGCCAAATACTTAGGAGTGTGTCTCGACTCCAGAAGGAGTTACTGGGAACACATTAAAAGTATCAGCGCCAAATCAAAAGACATGTACGGCCGTATGAGAAGGCTCCGCTCAGCGAATTGGGGCATGGGTCAATTAGCTGCTAGGACCATATACCGAGGTGTGTTCCTTCCTCGCATAACCTACGCCGCGGAAGTTTGGAACACAGGGACAAGACTGATAAAGAGCCAGAAAAAGCTTCTCAGCGCTCAGAGAGCACCTCTACTTGCAATGACGGGGGCATACAATACTGTATCGACTAACTGCCTCCCTGTAGTCGCAGGCTCATTGCCTCTAGACCTTGAGATAAGGCTGCATGCTCTTAAACGTAAGCACTTGAGTCAAGAGATGTCACCCGCAGACTTTGCTACAGCGGAAAACGATCTATTTGACGAATGGCAGCTCAGGTACGACACTTTGCCTAAAGGCAGTTGGACGAAAAAAATGATCCCGTCGGTCAGGTTGAGGTTCAACCTGCCGATGACATTGGATCACTATACGACGCAATTTCTAACCGGCCATGGAGATTTCCGCGCTAAGCTCCACAGCTTCAACCTCGTAGCAGACCCTATATGCGAGTGCGACCGCAAGCCGGAGACGGTCAATCACGTTCTGCGATTTTGCCCTAGGACCAGAGGTGCCCGCAACACACTCAAAAGAGCCCTCAGCGATGAAGGCGTTACATGGCCACCAGCGGATGGTGCCTTCCTCACTAATAAGGCAACGTACGAAGCTCTAGTGAAATTCGCAAAAGTAGTCATGACAAACCGGACTGATCGATAGTAATGGAAAGATAAAGACGACTGCCAGTATAAGGTTAATAAACCTTACGGCCAGAACGCAGCCCCATCCAACGATGGAAGGCACAGACTCGGGGTGTTCCCGATGAGCATGAATGGCGTAAGTGGCAGAAACGGGGGAACACGCCCGAGTGCGTTTCTGGCCTGGGACATGCTCATACGTCAGGGACGCGGAGTTCGGCCCTGTTGCGGGGGCCGTACAGAATTCCGCATCAGTACTCCCTGCTTGTCGTAGAAGGCGACTGAAAGGGAAAAGACCAGTCGGGGTCGGCGCCCGGGGCGCGGACGCACCGAAACCTACGGAGATTAGGGCGTTGTGAGGTTTTGACCGCGACCTCGTGAAGAGCGGGTCGGTCACTGGGCTTAGCCACCTGGTGACGCCTTGGTGGCGGTGCTCGAGGTTCTGACCGTGACCTCTTGAAGAGCGGGTCGGTCACTGGGCTTAGCCACCTGGTGACGCCTCTGGGAGGCGGAGTCGGGCCCACCGTGAGCCCGTGGTACACGGCCCAAATCTCGGGAGGATCATAAGCTGAGGCATCTCGCCGACGAAGCTTCGTCCGAGCATCCTACCAATGATGTGCCTTACCTGACGGGAGGTGAGATTGGTGCTTCGGGATGTGAGGGGGCCCCTCGGTGTTGAGAGATTAACATCGAGCCCTCACACGTCGGTCGTGGTGGACACTGCCTCGACCGACGGCGGTTTGGTTTCGAAGTGGCAGTTTGCAGGAGCATACTATGTGGTTATAGGCCACACGCTTGGCCAGGGGAAGGCGGCCGAGTGACTGGACCGGGCGGACTCGTACGGCGACAGTCGGCCGGGAAAGCACGGCCCTCCTTAGCGCTCACCCAGCTTATCGTTGGAGCTATATGCAGCGAAGGTTGTCCGTGACCAAAAACGGAAAGCAAAGTGGATAGATTGCGGCCTCACCAGGGTGGCGAAAGGCACCTGTATGCCCTAGCCGGATGGTACGGGCGCTCCGGGGTACCCCTCCGTGCGCGCCCGGTGCTCGTGGTCCTTAGACGACGTGCGGTCGTCAGTCTCCGGCGGTCCTCCGGCCATGCAACGGTGTGGGGAGGGTCCGTCGGTTGGCGGTCGTATGCCTCTACGGCCCTTGACTAGCACCTAGTGCTAACATAAGGTCCGTAGTGGTAGTCGGAAGACTTGTCGTAAGGCTTGTCGGATGACGCCAAACCCGGGAGCTTCGTGTTGAGACGACACGGCGACGGCACACAATAAAGGTTATTACTGGGAAAATCATAAATCGATGTAAAACCCCCATCATTGTTTATCTCAATTCTATTTTTATTCAATGACAATTATGTTATTGCATAATGCGTTGGGTCGCCACTCGCCGTGTCATAGTCCAGATTATATTATTATAATAATAGGTATAATAATAGACAGTCATAGATTCGGTACACGGCGACGTTTAAAATCGAAATAATTCAATTTACGACAACGACCACTCGTTACAACGAACCTTCAGGCCGGGACTATACACAGCGACGGTGTTTCCGCGGTGTTTTCCGTCGAATTAAAAATGCATTGGTTTGTATCGGAGTAACTATATATAGTATATACACGACGGCAGAAAACGACGGTCGGCTTGGGTTTTTGAAAACGATATGTATTATAGGTATTATATACATCTGTCGTGTAGGTATAGGCGCATATATATAGCTACTCCGATATAAATACCAATGCATTTTTAATTCAACCGAAAACGCTGCGGAATAGGTACGTGGCGTATAGCCCCAGCTTCAGGCTATATATATAATAGTGGCTATAGCAATTTGATAATTAAAATAAATTAACCCCTCACGGCCTCACCTCTAACAAATAAAATTTTTAATTACAAAAAATATTTTACACCACCATGAAGTATACGAAAAAATTACCATCTCTACATAAAAATCTTCAAATATTATAATTTTTTATAAAATATTTCAAAACAATTGTCAATATAAGTGGTTCCCTGTACTGATTCATTCAATTTCGTTTCAACTTTCAAGTGCAATATTTAGAAATGAAAAAGTTCATATAAAGCCAGTGTTTGGAAAGAACGTCGTTTAAAAATTTAATGAATTTGAACGATTTTTAAGGCGTTCAAATGTATTTACTATTTAATAAATATTGATTAATCAAACTATAGTATAGATAATATTGTATAACAATTATAATTTATCCATTATAATATTCCTATTATATTTATTTGATTACGAATTATAAAAATAAAATACGTAAAATTCCAGTTGGCACAAATCGAAATATATTATATAATCGGTGTATTAATTTTTTCAAAGAACATGAACGTGTTCATATAAAAAAATATGAAGGTAAACGTGAACGAATTAAATTGTCTAGTGTACGTTCTGAACCTTATAAGTTAATATAATACCTGTATACTGTATATATAGGTAATATGTTTATATTATTATGTATATCAATTTGAAATATCTTTTTATTCAAAAATTTTAATGAACTGTATTTGAGGAGTTATAGAAACGTATATAACGAAACGTATATAACGAACTTATATAGAAACGTTTTAAAATGTATGAAATCTATTGTGAATATTTCAAAATAAAAATGGGGTCTTTCGGAGAGGATGGTGGTCCAAACTCCAAAGCACAGATGTATTATTATTATGTGTAAAAATTATTTAGGTGTAACATGTGTCATGGCGCATATATATTATAAGAGGCTCTGCAATTATTTATTAATAATAACCGCGAATTTAACATAATATTATATTATAATTTATTATAGTAGGTATTAATGTATTATATATAGGTAATTATATTAATATACAAAATGTTAATTTATTACATTAATGTTATTAATAACAATATATAGCCACGCATTACGCATAGGTATATATGATAGAATCTCGATAATTCGAAAACCTCAATAATTCGAAAAAAATAAATAGATATAACGCCTCGAACATTCCGTGTTCCAAGTACGTACAAAATATTATATGTATCGATATAATTACGATTTATTATACAATCAATGCTACATTATAATAATGTGTACCTATACGATGACACGCCACACGGCTACATTATAATATTCATAGTCACCTGCAGCTTGTGTGCCCCAATATTTGTATTGGTAATATTATTATTGCTTTAATTATGTTTGTTATTGTGCACTTTTTTTGATTCGGTTAATTACCTAATGTATGGTTAAGTTCGTCGTCAATTTGTATTTTTCATATTCAATATTATAATGAGTATATTATATTGCATATATGATTTGGTAAAATAAGTATATATATATATTATATATTATATATATATATATAATATGTAGTTTATAAATATACATATTTCAAATGCTATATAAATAATTAGATTTAAATAACATAATAATAATTTGTTCAAAATATTATTGTATTATTTTGTTTATGATGTCTTATTGTTAACACATTCAAAATATCCTCAAAACAATACATCTCTTATAATACAATATTATTATACTCGAAATCTTATTTTATCATTACATTTTTAATAACATAATAATAATATGTTCAGAATAATATTTAATTATTTCGTTTATGATGTTATATAATTAATATATCCAAATTATTATTTCATAAAACTACTATTTGATGTTATATTATTATTTTTCTCATAATGTAACATTAATAATGAAGATATATTGTTAATGAAATATTAACATTGGGAAAATGCTATCTGGGGTGTTCCCTTTTATTGACGTTTTCAGTAGTATTAATTTTACCTGCTTTAAATAAAATAGAAAATTGCCTATATAAATAACTAACCGGTAGAACTCTAAATTCTTTATAGTTTACGGAAGTCGAGCCATAGAGCTCCTTTTTCCTTACACATAATCTTACTGCATGATTCTGTTGAATCACAAGAGGTTTTATAGCATTATCAGAACACCCACCCCATACTAAAAGACCGTATTGGAAAATCGACTTATAGAGTGCATTATATACAGTATACATTGTTTCAGTTGGTAAGAGTTTATTAAGTTTGAAAAATTTGCAAATAACAGATCTTAATCTCATAACCACATTTTCAATATGAAATTTCCACCGTAGATTCCAGTCGAAAATAAGACCCAAATATTTAACTATCGTTACCCTACTTATTTTTTGGCAATTACATAAATTTAAATTTAAATCTCGATTTTTACAAGAGTGAATAATAATATCATTGAACGGTATGTACGTATTATAAATTGAGAAAGCAATGAAAACACTTTTCCTTATATTCAAAGTCAACTTATTATTATTCAGTTCTTTAAAAACATTATTTACTCCAACAGTTGATTTTTGATGAACGTCTTCCCATGTGTTCCCGGAAAAAAGTAGGCAGGTGTCATCTGCATAGGTTATTACTTGACCGTCAATACATAGGTTACAGATGTTATTTATATAAAGAATGAATAAAAGGGGTCCTAATACACTGCCCTGCGGTACACCGTAATCGATTTCACCCTCAAAGCTATTAATGCCATTTATCGAAACTACTTGTTTTCGGTTTTTTAGATAGCTTTTGAACCACATAAGACTTTCATTTGATATTCCAAAATTTGGCAACATTTTAAGAAGTACATCGTGATTTACTGTGTCAAATGCTTTCGCTAGATCTAAGAAAACTGCAATTAATTTTTTGTTATTGTCTAATTCGTTATATAAAAATGTTGATGTCGCATAGAGCGCTCCAGTCGTACTTCTACCAGGTCGAAAACCAAATTGATTTTTCGATAATAATTCATTAGCTTCTAAGAAAGTTATAAGTCTAAGTTTAATTATTTTTTCGAAAATTTTTGAAAAGTTGCATAGCATGGATATCGGTCTATAGTTTGTCACATTTTTTGTATCACCTGTTTTATAAAGTGGTTTGACAATTGCGAGTTTAAATTTATCTGGAAATTCGCCCTTTTTGAGGCATACATTTAGTATATAGATAAGAGGGTCTACAATATACGGAGCTATGTGCTTT